GGGGCAAAGCGCACGGGGCCGACAGTCGACTTCACTCCTGAAAAAAAACTGTCACAGAGGCAGGATGCGTTTCTGCCTCATTTTAAAAGCCGGTCCCTTCGATTACTTGTGAACCTCTTAAGGGCCATCATGGGAAATCGGTGATTTTGCATTTGCAACCGAGCCGCAATTTGTGCAAGCGCTCCTCCAGCCTAAGTCACGTCGAGCTCTGCGTGAGAAAAGCTGCATTAGGGAGGGCAGCACAAGCTACAGCCTTTACCGCCAGACATCGTTAAAAAACACGCACCGCTTGATTGTTTCATATATAAAACCACATTAAATTTATTCAGGCTTTTAGCAGAGCAGACCTGGGATCTCGCTACACCACAACAGCAGCTGCAGGTACCCGCGGCGTCAGGCCAGACACTCGCCACCGAGCCCGGGCCCCCTGCCCTTCGCCCCACGGTGACGGCGACGTTTTATTCCATACACGCATCAGCACAAGCTTAACGAAGCGGCGACTGACAGAGGCGCAGCTCTTTGGAAATAAATAAAGAAATCGTGGCTGGGATTTTACCTCTTCTCTAACTTTTGAGTTGCGGGTACTGGTGTAAGCCAACAGAAACCCTGGGTGAAGGATACCGGCGGTCAGCTGAAGTAAGTGTTCCCCAGAAAGCCCCTCCTCTCCCTCTGATCCACATTTCTACTGTTAAAACAAATAATCTTCACGCCCACTGGAACTGCACAGGGAGAACAGCGTACGCAGCTAACGCAACCTAGAAGCAGCAAATGTATTTGGAGCGGAAAAAAAAAAAGAAAAAAAAAAGGCTGATATTCCCCAGCTACGCCCCACCTCCCCCAGGACTCTGTTTTTGCTGTTATTTGAAGTTAATATCTACATCACACCAGCCAGTGTTTTCTAAAAATTATCTGTACTTGGCACGGGGCAGCACTACCAGCACCTGGCGCAGCAGGCTCGAGAGACACGGACACGTCTGTCAGAAATAAGGCGGCGGGAGAGATGCGAAGACCGTCCTGTGCGACGCTGACCAGCGCTCACCATTGCTGCCGAGGTTCCGAAGACATTATGGGCCACGGGAGAAATAAGTTGGCTTTTTCCTCTTTCCACAGGCAACGCTCGCTCCCTCACTCCACACCCAACCGCGTATTAATGGAGTATTTACACGCTCTCACACCGTTTACAAAGAACTCTTGGCAAAAACTTTATCAGACTCAATATGAATCACTGCAGAAGGGAAGGGGACCGGACAGTCTCTTCACAAGTTATCATAGTCGTCATCATCTTCATGCTTCCTTTTCAAGGGATTCGATTCATTAGATGTATTCTGTGACGACACCATATTTGTAGTAATGAGAATGTTCTTTGGTCCAATTAACGAAGGATTAATTAGAACATTCTGAACTGTTGGAGTAGTTGGTGTGGCTGTGAAAAAAAAAAAAAAGTCATTGAGTGAAAAGCTTGAAAAAAATGACACTTGGTTTTCCCACACCAAAACAGAACCTCCAACCCAATAAAGCAGTGTGCTACTAGAACATTCTGGGCTGAAAACCCCAGAATGATCCTGAGTGTGAAGCAGAGAAGACAGGAAAATACTGGTGGGGTGAGCACAGAAGAGCGAGAGCACAAAGGTGGCAGTTAAGGCGTCAGGGAAATCCGCCTGAAACGCTGCGTGTTCGGTTGACACCACCGCGCTAGAAATAGGAATTAAAAGTAGAAGTGACCAGAATGACCAGAGAGAGGCCAGCCTGCTTTACGTCAGGAGACACAAAAGGTTAGCAAATATTAAAAAACAGAAGAGGTGAAGCCATTTCCCACATCACTACTGTAAATTAATTTCCATTCTGCTAAAAAGGACGCTAAAACGCGCTGCTGATCTTCACCGCTTGTGTTTTACCTGACTTGACTGCTGCCTGAGAAGACGGGATCTGTACGGTGAACCTCTGACCGGTCAGCGACACGGGAGTGCCAACTTTTGTTGAGACGGATACCGTTTGTGCTGAAGGTGTACCTGGAATTCAAAACAACTCAGTCAAAAGATAGATTAAAAAAAAAATGGCACTCATAAATGTGGAACCTATTATTTTCAAAGCAGAGGGAACAGACAGGAACATGCCGGATATGCAGGAGTCAGATTTTCAGGCAGAACTGCAAATTTACCCAAGACCTAGAAAATTCTAGGCTACAAACACACATTAATACGTAAGTGCACACGCTCAGACATAAATGTGGTGAACCTTTAAAAGTGAATTTTTTTTAGTGCTATTTTTTAGTTCAGTGTGGTGCTTACGCTGAGGAAAAAAACCTCAAACTTATTTAAGTTTCTTGAATACTCTCTTCAGGTATAGAAGTTATCACAAATACAGGAATAAAAATACAGGGTGTCAGCAATGTAGGCATGTATCAAAGATTACAATAATCTTTTGGAAATTAATTTAATTTTTCCGATGCTGTCAAACGACACTAAGTTCAGGTGGCACCCAAGATATCCTCAGCGGTTGAAGCACGCTTTAAATCGCTCCTCATTATTTTTTTCCTTCATGAAATCAACGTGGGAAACCCCCCCCGGAGCTGTTGCCTACCTAAAGTAGGAGTGCTGGGCCTGCTGCTCACAGCACCAACGCTCAGGCGAGGGACTGTTATTCTGCCTGCAGAGGAAGAGACCTGTCGAGAGAGAACGTTCAGTTTAGCATCCCGTGAGAAATTAACGGTTCTTAACACGAGAAGAAGAAGCGGTTCTTGCTACGAAACCACACAGAGCCTATTTCACAGCGCCAATACACGATCTGTATTCCATCACAAAAGTTCTCCAACTCTTCACGGCGCCGGCGTCACCGGCGTGAGCTGGATTGGCGTGCCGCAGTGCCGACGCCCGGTAGGCGGCTGATCTGGCAAACAGCGCTCGGGTCGATCGGGTTCGTTTCTACCGGAAAGAGTAACTAGAACATTCAAATCGACAGTTATTCTTCTACTCTACAGCTAGCACCCAGGCACGTCCCCTGTCACCACCTGGAACCTAACCTTAAGCTCAACTTTTCAAATTCTTTCCTTAAAATGGGGGAAATACAGATGGAATCCTTCACGACAAGACACGCAGCATTTTCCAGCAAGCAAAGTAAATCTCTTCTCTTCCCTCTAAAGCAGAAACAGCTAAGGTCTAAGTACAAAATACCCTTTAATATCTATACTAAAGCCTCACTTTTGCCTTTTTACAATCTGATATTCAACTCATCAATTTTGCTTTAACGCTAAAAAGATTCAAAGATGCATTTTTTAATACACTTTGCGTTTGAAACTAACGAACAGTAAGAATACTTGCAAATTCCCGGAGGTAAAGGCCACCGACCCAGTTTCAAACACTCTTTTGACGTGCACAGGTCAGCATTTGCCCACACATATCCCTTCAGAGGTGCGGAAAACTCTCAATTCCAAGAACATTCCTGACAAACAACGTGGGCGTAAGGAGAATCCCTCCCTACCCAAACCCCTTACCTTCTTCTGCAAGGACTTCAGCCTGTAGTTGGGAGCTGTCAAGCAGTATCTGTCAGGCGGAAGCCTGGGGCCGGAATAAGGCTTTATCAATGGCAGCGGCGTCTGATTTTTCTGCCTTGCAATATCTAACAAGAACTGGAGAGACACGGTTATGTTCCCACCTGCAGCCTTTTATGGCGTTCTGTTGTTATCAATCCGGTCTTACTCACGTCTCGTGGAGGCGGAGATGTAAACGACTGGTCTGTCCGACACTGGATTGCCAACCTCACGTCGTCCGCATCGACGCTGGATTTCTTGGCGTGGCTCGAGTAAATTTTTGCATCTTCCAGTATAGTAGTCACGTACCCTTTGAAAAACAGAACCTTCCAGTATAGCAGTCACTTACCCTCTGAAAAACGGACCTCTCACTGAGGCTGGATTAAGGAAATCAATCTTTCCCCCCCGATGCCACTGAGCTGTCACTGGAAAAGACAACGCTGCTTTCCCCGGGGTTATTTTTAAGGACTGACAGGGGAGCCCCCCACGGAAACCCGGCCTCAGCGCTTCCCCTCTCCGCCCGGCGTTTCCCTGCGCACCCCCCTGCCCCGGGGCAGCGCTGCTGTTCGCGCCAGCCCCCG